GGGGGGTGTGGTGTGGTGTGTTGGCTGGTCCCGAGGACCCCGATTGTCTATGCCCTCCCCTGCAGTGGGACTATAAATGCTCCACTGCAGCCCACTCTTGATTACCCAGGTTCTGGAGACTGTGCCTCTGGGTCTCCTTTTGGCATGAGGTCTAGGCACTGAATTCAGGTCTTGAGCTTGCAAGGCAAACACTTTACTGACTGGCCTGTGTCTCCAGGAGTCTAAAACCCCTCACGTCTACCTTATTTTCCCCTGTGGGGTTTTCCACCATAGGATACACTACGTGATTGAGTTATTTTATTCCCTGTCTGGCTTCAATGGGAATGAAGGTAGGTTTGTCGTTCTCTGTGATATATCCCAGTCTCCCGAGCACAGCAAGTTACTTAACCACTTTATGCCTTAGTTTCCTTCTGTAAAATGGGGTAAAAAACAGTAGCTATCACAAGAAGATTTGCTTCTCTGAGTTGGTATCTGTGAAGTGCTCAGAACAGTCCTAGAAGAGCTATGCAAATGTTTTCTGTAATTAGCATAATTACCACCACCACCTCCAACACTACCACCACCAATACCTCAACCACCACCACCACCACCACCACCACCACCATCACCACCACTCACCATTACCACCACCACCATCAACAACAACACCTAAACCACCACCACCACCACCACCACCACCAACAACAACAACAACAACACATCAACCACCACCACCACCACCAACAACAACACCTAAACCACCACCACCACCACTACCACCAACACATCAACCACAACTACCTCAACCACTGCCGCCGCCTCCGCCTTAACCACCACCACCTCAACCACCTCCTCCACCACCACCACCAATGATACCTCAACCACAATCACCATCACCACCATCACCACCACTACCTCAACCACCACCATCACAATCCTTGTTGTTACTATTATCTGTTCAGATAGCAAAATAGCACGCACAAAGACAGATTGGAAACAGCAGGATGTATTGATGCTCTAGAGGAAAACAACAACCATGAAGCCAATAGGAAAAGGGACCGCCAGGAACTCCATCATACCTGGACATCTTATTATACGCTATTACGCTATTTAAAAAAAAAACTTATTTATGGGGTTGAATAAATGGCTCATCAGGTAAAGGTGCTTGCCAGACAAGCCTTGTAACCTGATTTTGAGCTCTGGAATCTATCTATCTATGTACAGGTGGAAGAAGAGAACCCGTACCACACATCATTGTCTTCTGACCTCCACCAGCCTGCCCAAACTCACACATCCATCATGTGCATACCCACAATATTCCTCCTCTACTGCCTGTAAGATTGCTTATGATTTCTCTGTTCCCATTAAGAAGCAAGCTCCAGGCAGAGCTTCGGGTTTGTGGAGTAAGTCGCAGCATCCCAAGCGCTTCCAATCATCACTGGCAACAGAATTCTTCCTGCCCTGTACTAGCTGACTGCATAATGGGTTATGTATTTATCTTCTTGTTTCCATCCTAGAACACAGGGGATTTGTGAAGAGAGAAGATACAAGAGTGATGGGTGAAGCTGGGTCCTATAACCTGAGAGGCGAGCGCCCTGGGGCCGGCCAAATCTGTCCTCCGTGCTCAGGGTAGAGCCTTTGTTTTCTGTCATGGGGTGAAGATTGCTCCGGGCCTCCGTGTCTGGGTTGATGCTGGGCACACACCTTCAGTTCTTCCGTTTTCTCACTCCTTCCTTGGCTCCGCCCAGAGGGCTCAGTGACATACCACGAGGAAATGTTTCCTCTAGGGGATGGTCCTAGAGGATTGTGACTGCCAAAAGAATGGTGCTGAGGAGACTGGGTTTGGAAGGTAAGGCGGATTGGAGGAGAGCTGGCAGAGCTGAGGAGTCCTTCCTTGGCTGATCTCACGGGTGGGGGCGGGGATGAAAAAGCCTGGAGGATTTGGGCAGCAGCCTTGTGGTCCCGAGCTCTTCCTCCTCAGGTTGTCACTGTCCAGACGCTGTTTATTTATGGTCTCTGCTCCGGGGGCAGCGCGAGGGGGGAGAAAATGAAAGTGAAAGCAGACGCGTTTGCTGCGGGCCTCCATTCCAGGCGGGGCTTTCCTCCTCTGCCCCTTACATGACACCAACCCACCTCAAAGCCAGTGGTAGTCAGGACCGGCTACAGAAACGCTTTGATCAACGACTTCGGTGCTTGGTATTCAGATTATACTGCATCTGCAGATCTCAAAGAGGGAGGCTTTGTGCATTTTGTAGCAGACGCAGCTATTTAGATCTTCAGGTTAACAAGGGCTGAACTGGATCTAACCCTAAAGCTGAATGAGGCCACTGGCTTAAAGGACACTCCCCGCCCCGACCCCCTCCCACCCACGAAGGGCACGTGGGCAGGAGAAGAGGAGAAGAGAATCTGCCACAAAAGAAAAAATTCACCAAGAGGCATAACAAGCTCTGCCATTCAGCCAATGCCCAGCATTTGCTACACGCCCCTAACGCAGTCTCCTACGGCCCTGTTTATTGTTGAGGAAACAATATTGTTAGTCGGCGGTTTAAGAGTATGCAACCAGGAAGTGACAGTCAAAAGTTGCACACCCAGAAACTCAAAGCTGAGCTCATCATTCACGTTTTTTCCACGACTGCTTCAATTGACATCGCACAGGAGTGTGAAGAGGGCAGATGTGGAGGACGCAGCAGCGAGGTGGGGTGACCAGCCAGCCTCACATGGGATAAAGAAACCCGGATGGACGAAGACTGAGAAATACACTTCTCTCCTTAGAGGAGCTTGCCTGTGCTCCCCCCAGCCCCAAAGCCACCAACTGCTAGGTAAGTACGTTTTTATAGACTATTGAAAGAGTAGTTAATTTTCATGACTAGTTATGAAACGTTAGGACGTCTGTTATAAGAAATCTAAATTAGGAAAACAAGATAAAATGAGCTAAACTTTCCACCACATCTTTCAGAATTGTTTTAAACTGTTTAATTTTTTAATTTCTAATATTAAAGTAGTCAAGATTAGAACACTGAAATAAGCATTTAAGTGTACAGTCACTTAGCATAACCTTACCCCAGCCTGAAAATAAATCTATATGAATGAATGAAAGAAAGAAAGAAAGAAAGAAGAAAGGACATGACTTCTCGGAGGTATAGTGGAGGAGAAAGGTTACTGTAGCTATGTGGGAGAACATAGCCAGAGGCAGGGATCTCTGAGAGTCCAGAGTGGGCATGACCAGACTGAGTTGGGCCATGTGGGGAGATGGGGGATAAAGGTGAGAGAAGGCTCCAGGTACAGCAGCCGGGAGGCCAAAGGTCCAAAAGGGGTGGGTAACCATGATGTCTGGATTATATAGGGAAGAGCCTCTGGGGGAAGGGCAGCCCAGCCCCTGGGCTGCAAAGTTCAGGGTAGAGGGCAGGGTATGCCAGCCAAACCCTGCAACAGGTAGTGACTGAGGGATGCTGGGAGAACCTGGCTGCCAGGTCCACTTTGATTCGTTAAGTAGGCACCTCAGTTATTTGTCCTGGGTTTGAAACTTAACACTATACACATATACTAAATGTTGGTAGCAGTTGCTTTGGGGGCGTGGAACTACGGAGTAATAGTTTTCTCGTTTTAAATTTACATATATTCACAATAGTCTACAATGTAGAAATTCCTAATTAAGCAAGTAAATGAGTTTAAGAAAAGGCTTCCTATTTGGGTAAAGCTGAGTTCTGAGTCAGCTGAATTTTCACTGACTGAAATGACAAAGCCACCTCTTCACTTGTCTATAGAGGAGACATCAGAAGACAGAACACATAAACCCAATTCCTACCCCAAGACTCTCATCGTGTCCCAAAGAAACAAGTGTTCATTTCTCAAGGAAAAGGCTGAAAGCGTCCAGCATTGGAATCGACTGTCATGGAGATCACGGATCATGACACCCCCCAGGATGGATCCACATCCTCAAGTAATCAGAGGACCGTTAGTGAAGACAGTCTTTCGTTGATTGAAGCTGTTAAAAAGGAAAATGTTGACAGGATCCAGCAATTGCTGGAAAGAGGGGCTGATGTCAATGTCTGTGAAGACATGGGGGGTTGGACACCTTTGCACAATGCAGTGCAGCTTGGCAAGGTAGACGTTGTCGAGCTCCTGCTTCGTCATGGTGCTGACCCCCGTCGAAGGAAGAAGAATGGGGCCACTCCCTTCATCATCGCTGGGATCCACGGAGACGTGAGACTGCTCGAGATTTTCCTCTCTAGAGGAGCAGATGTCAATGAGCACGATTTGAACGGCTTCACGGCTTTCATGGAAGCTGCCGAGTATGGTAACGTCAAAGCCTTAAGATTCCTTTTTGATAAGGGAGCCAATGTGAATTTGAGACGGGATACCACGGAAGACAGAAGGCGACTGAAGCAAGGAGGGGCCACAGCTCTTATGAGTGCTGCTGAAAAGGGACACACAGAAGTCCTGAGTATTCTCCTCAAGGACATGGGGGCAGAAGTCGATGCCCGGGACAATATGGACAGAAATGCCTTGATCCGTACTCTGCTGAACTCCGATAGTGAAAATGTGGAGGAGATTACTCGCCTTCTGCTCCACCACGGGGCTGACGCTAACGTGAGAGGAGAGGGCGGGAAGACACCCCTGATCTCCGCAGTGGAAAGGAAACACAGAGGTTTGGTGCAGATGATACTGGATCAGGAGGGAATAAACATCGATGATAGAGATAGCCAGGGCAAGACAGCCCTGCTAATCGCTGTTGAACTCAAACTGAAAGAAATTGCCGAGTTGCTATGTGCTAAGGGAGCCAATACCAACTGTGGGGATCTTGTTGGGATAGCCAGGAGGAATTATGATCCTTCCCTTGCAGACCTTCTGCTCCGTTATGGAGCTAATGATGAAACAGGCCCTCCTGCTGGAGACAGGTTGCCTCATAGTTCACGCTGGGAGGAAGCCTTGAAAAGACTTCACCGTATGTCTCGACCCATGATTGGCAAACTCAAGATCTTTATGGACAATGAATTTAAAATTTCTAGCACTTCCGAAGGGGGCATCTACCTGGGGTTCTATGACAATCGAGAGGCGGCTGTGAAGGTCTTCCGTGAGGACAGCACATATGCACATAATGAGGTCTCCTGTCTGCAGAGCTGCCTTGGACACAGTAACTTCGTGACATTCTATGGACATGAGACCAGCAAGGGCTGTTCATATGTGTGTATGTCCCTGTGTGATTGGACACTGGAAGAGTTCCTGGAAGGGCCCAGAGAGGAACCCATGGAGAACGGGGAAGATAAGTTTGCCCGCAATGTCCTCTTGTCTATTTTTGAGGCTGTTAAAAAGCTACACTTGCATGGATATACCCATCAGGATCTGCAGCCACAAAACATCTTAATAGGTGAGGCCTTTGTGGTAGTCTTTTATGTGTGGCTGTGACTGAGCATCACAGACTAAGAGATTTGTAAAGAATGGAGATTTATTTCTGATACTCATGGGGGATAGCCCAGGTCACCTCTTGGGGGCTAAATCCCTGACTTAACTCACCTTTAGCTCTCACTCCCAACTTCTATCATTCTTTCATTCCTCTTTCCGGGGACTCAGTGGCTTCTTCTAGAAGGAAGAAGAGCCTGAGGGGGCAGGGGACCGTGACTCCGAGCCAGCACATTTCTGACCTATGATGGTGGGCGAAAGTACCAGAGGAGCTTGGGGCTGGTGGGGTTAACTGGATGGAAAGCGATGCCAAGATATTCTTAGACACAGAGCCCTGCTGCTCAGTTGTTAGCCATAGGATGCAGCCTTAACTGTGGCCAGCAGCCCCCTTCCTGTGCTGTGCCCCAGGAGCTGTGTGAGTGGACAACTGGTCAACCTCGCCCTCATCTTCTCCTACTGTCTGCCCTGTGAAAAATAAAATGTGTGTCCTGCTCTTGACAGACACCTACTCGATCAAATGAAGCTAGACATGGGTAAATAGTACTGCTGATCTTCAGAGATGATAGATTGTATAATGTGTTACCTAGTTATTTAAATGATTTGACTATCACACCATGGAGAATATTTTTTTTTAATGCACCTCTGGAACTGTCCCTTAGACTCCAAGAAAGCTGTTCGCCTGGCAGATTTTGATCAGAGTATCCAGTGGAAGGAAGATCCACAGACGGTCAAGAGAGACTTGGAGGTAATTTCTGTGTCCTAGTTAGCTTTTAAATTTTCTCTGCTTCCTTATTTGTTCATTCTCTCACTTCCTGTGGCCAGATAGAGAACTTCTTATTTTAACCTGGAAGGAAAGACTTCTTAAGGCTTCCTTCCACCTTGTCCATGGTGGCATTTCCGTGTGTCTCTCACAGGGTTGTAGATGTAACCAATCGTCTTATTAAAATAAGAAACACAGAGCCAATGTAAAAGAGAAAGCCGAGAGGTCAGAGCTCAGAGATAAAATCTT